CGCAACAGGGGCCGTAAACTGGTTTATTGGCCTGTGTGATTTGATGCTGGACTCGTCCCTCTGATTTTCTTGATGGCTTTTTGATGTCCATGCATGTCCTCTGGCTCAGTCCCTGGCTGGGGTTGGGGTTAGGTTCTGCTCTTCGCCCTTCCTGTTGTAAGTGGGGCTTCTCCATAGGCACAGCCCTGCTGCACCCATCTAATCCAGACAACATCCCTCTAATGGGACACACAGTGTGGCTGTCAACTCTTACATGGAATAGCAATGTCATCAGGTGGGAAAACATTTACACAATGCAAGCGTGACTTGAGGAAACCATCCCCTTATTCCTCTCCCAGGCCAGGAAGACCAGACAGGACCTGGGAGCTATTTAAACATCTTCCTACTGAAGCCCATCACTGCATGAGACCTGAGCATGGCTCTACCCCTCCCAAGGATCCATGCTCAATGGGTGGCGAAAAGGAGCCAACTCTTGCCAGTATGCTCAAGAGACTGGGATGCTGGAGTGCAGGGGCTCACGTGGGGCTCCAGAGAGCTCTGGGTCAATGTCTATCCTAACAAATTTAGAGGTTCAGGCTGTCCCCCATTTTCTTAGACTGTGTGTCTGTGTCCTGGATGACTTAGCCTGGGCTAGTCAGCCCTCTCCCAGGTGCAAGGGATGGCCACCTTGCTCGGGGTGATGGCCTTAGGGGTTGAGCTGTGCCTTGCCACTTGGCTTCATGGCTGGAGAAGAGGCCCTGGCCCTGTTTAGGATGCTATAGGACTCTAGGTACTGCCTTTGACCCCTTCCCTCACATGGAGGAGTCCCCGCTCAGCCCCAGCAGCACAGGGTCTCAGGGTAAATCAGGGGGGAGAGATGTCTCTGGTCCCATGTTCTGGTCCAAGCAGGGTCAGTCATGGAGTCTGATCCTCTTGCTCAGGGCTGGATCTAGTCTGGTGTTGAAAAGCTCCAAGGATGGAGACGGCACAGCCTCTTGGGACACCCTGTGAAGCCGTGGCACTGCTGCCCCATGATCAGCCCAAGGGAGTCCCAGAGCAAGGTGTCCCCCAGCACAGCCAGATCCCCACCACCCTTCTGGTAGGGCTTCTCCTGCCCAGATCAGTATTGGCCACATGGCCTGGGGGTCCCTGAAAGCCAGAGTGCTGAGGCATCATGTTGTCGGGCAGGATGACCCCCTCAAGTGTGAAGCATCCTGGGTAAGTCCCAAGAATGTGGGAGCTCCCCTCCCACAGTGCATGGCCTTTACTGAACAAAGCCCCTCTCCACAACCCACAAACCTTCTCTGTAGATCTGACTCGAGACTCATGCCAAAGGAAGACATGGTGAGGACCAAGACTCAAATCTTTCTGGCAAACACTCCTGCCTTCACTCCTCCCAACCTCATGTTCCCCCATATATAACCCTTCTCAGTGGCTGGTGGCCCTGGGTCCAAATCCATCCCAGATAGCCCCCAGTCAACCTAAGCCTTAGCTATCTTCTGGTTCCGGCTCCAGATTTGGCCCTACCTGCCAGACACTCAGCTTTGCCCTGGCACAGTCTGCACTCACACCTATTTTCTTTCTCTGACTTGAGACTAAGCCTAAGGCTGGCATTCATTTACAGCTGGAAATGTACTTCCCACCGAACACTCAAATGTCAGTTCAGAGCAAATCAGCCCCAAGGCAGCTCACACATCTCACCAGACAGAGGAACCAGGAGCAGCAGTTGCACACTCACAGCAAGGGATACACACTTTTGGAGACTTCTGCCTTTAAAACCACCAGCTTAGTAATTTTAAAGCTTGGGGAGAGCTTTGAGCCATGGCCCTGGTACTTCATAAAACTAAATATTGAGGTCATGATGCTTGTCCCACAGACAACCCTTCTCCATGAGCACACACACACACATGCAAGTGCATCCCTTTTATCAAATGGGACCGTAGAGCTGAAGAGCAGGCTCTGACGTGAAGACTCAAGCCATTTTAATTGCAATTAAAATGAATCATTTGCAATGTTCTCAGCTTCCTAAAATACCTATTTCTAACAAAAGAGTCAGTCATACTTGAGCATCCAAGTATAGAGTGGATGTGAAAAACTCAATGCCTTCAGGACAAAGTTCTTGGCAGTCCATGTAATTAAACCAGCTGCTTTTCAATATGGTTTAAGACTAAATACTGCACAAACATTAATCATCAGGGACTGCTGTAATCAGCTCGGCAACCGTCAGGAATGAGTATTTCCACTGCAGCCATTGATTACTTAATGGCTTTCAGGAGGGGTTGATATAGTCATGTCTATATGGCAATGCATGGAGTCTATGGGCTGCTACTTCGGTTGGAGGGGCCATTTGCTAGGTGCTCAGCGGAAAAAAAATATGGAGGAATATGTCTGTTTCTGGAAAAACATAGATCTCACTGCAAAGCAGGGAGGGACCAGCCACCAGCAGTTGCAAAATAGCTACTTTTGGGCTGTCTTGGTCCTTGGTCTGTCAAACGCAAAGGGCCAGTTACTGGGGATGCTCGTGAAAGCAGATCATCAAAACAGGAGGGCTGAGCCTGGGAAAAGAGCTATCCCGTGCCAGTGCCTGCCCCATGAACAAATACAGACATTTGTGGGATGTGGAGAAAAAGAACTAGTTTCTCCAGTACTGCTAAGGGCTTTTCCAATCTTAATTAATGCTTTGGGTTAAATGTGGGAGTGGGCACTGGAGGCACCTAGTCCCAGTGCAGAAGCACAGGGCACCGACTCAGCAAAATGCATCCCAACCCATTGTGCTGTCTCTCAAGCCACTGCACCATCAGAAATTACTACTGCTGCTGCCTCCCCCTCACCTGTCCACTTTCAGGATACTTTTGGGACTTGTTGAGCTCCCCGTCTCCCAGGTGGAGAAAAAGACTCAATCAGAGCATGGTTTATCACTTGATTTCTCCAGGCTTTTGGTCTGGTTCAAGATTTTTTTGGCCTGGAGCCGGGCTCAGTTTCATCTCGAGAATAGTTGCACTGTTTTACTGAGACAGACCCAAAGCAGTATAAAGGGCTATTACCAAAATTGCTGCTGCAATCCACCCCAGAGGTGGCTGCGTTTTAGTGTGATAGGAGGAGAACAGCACAATTTTGGCAGGGAAATATATCCAGCATGCACCATAATCCTTCTTGCCCAACCTCATCTTCCTTTGTGTCCGCCTAGCAGTTTAGAGGATGAAATAGGAAAAAATCAGCTTCCCGCTTGAGTCACATTTGCTTTTCGGTGGGGATGGGGAGCTCTCTCCCAGCCGGGTGAATGCACACTTCAGTGGGCTCTGGATCGGGCCCAGTGTTTAGTCTCCCCTGAGATGCAGTGATGAAAGGGGCTATAGAAATATGAAGCACTGTACTCCGGTCTTAATTTCATTATCTCACCATGCAAGCGTGCATGGGCCCTTGCAGGCTGTAACACACTCCCCGACCTTCAGAAAGCATCTGGCTGTGCTAAATCTTCCCCTTTGGGTCTTTTTTTTTTTTTTCTCCTAGATGTTTATTATTTTTACCATCAGCATTAGGATATTTGCTTCATTATTCCTGTAAAAGGCCAACACTTCAAGGTCTTAAAAGGTTTGTCAGAGCTTTTCCATTAATATCCTTCCCTTTCATGGCATGCGAGAAGAAAAGATAAACTGGTGTTGGAAGTTCAAGACTTATTTTACCAGCATGCAGCCCTTAAGGGACTGGTATCCTATCCCTGTGTGGGTGACGTCTGGCCCTTTTCAAACTCAGGGCAAGCTTAAAAAAATGTGTTAATGCTTAAGCATCAATAATCAATACAACTTGGTGGTGTTGGTGGAACATAGAGCCTGTGGCACTGGGAGGGGTTGAGCTTGCATAAAGAATAGCTTCAGCTATTTAATAAATATTATTATCTAATCTTTCTAATGTCTCCTTTGTTTGGCTCTCTGTTTGCAGTTGGCCTGTTTATCCATGTCAGCGCTCGCTGTCTGGCAATCAGGCTGCTCCATTGCAATCATTAGTCCTTCCTGTTTTCATGAGATCATGAATTATTATCTCTGCAATAAACTGTCTCTTCCTTCTCGGCTCTCTGCGCCTGGCAGCTGCCTGGGGAGCAACCCCAAAGCCTGGATGTGTCAAGGATGCTGGCGAGGGGCAACAGCAGATTCCCATCCATAATTAGAGCCTAGGGACGTTAACATCAACAAGCCTCATTTCTGTGTTGAAGAAACATTACTGACGATGGGGAGAAAATATCTAGTCCAGCCCTTTGCACCCACCACAAACCAACCATAATGCTACATTAAAGCTAATATTGAAACATCTTGCCCTGACTCTCCTGACCAGCCTCTTCCCAAGCCTAAGGCCTCACCATCAACCAACATTTAATTACTCTACTCCTTTCCTCCAAGATACACCCCACTGGACCTCCTCATCCAAGACCAGCCTCTGCAGTACGGCATCCACCTTCTCCCAGTCCTCGCAACAGCCTCCCACTCCCTCCCTGTCACTCATCCTCGCGCCAGTCCAGATATAAAGGGTCTCCAGAGCCTCCCTGTGCTCCTCATACTCAACCACAGAGCTTCCCATGACGGCCACGGATGTAGGACTCTCACTCCATGGGCTTCTTTTGGTGCCACAAAGGGCAGATTTCAGTTGTTAGGGCCAGATTCACAGGCAATTGGTTTCAGATAGCAGCGGGTCAGGGCTTAAATTCTGCCATACAAAGCCAATCTCTCCAGCCCGTTGACTTTGAGAGATGCTGGAGAGCATCAACAGCAGAAGACACCCCAACAAATTTGGCTGTTTCACGCATGCATGCATGTGTGTGAGCATGTGCTGGCATATACGTGTGTGTAGGATGGGGCAAGTCCTGGGCTTCTAAGTCAGCTCAATGGGACAGTCTGGATGCTCTTTAAGCACCACAACCAAAACCATGGGGGCTGTCCCACCAGGAGAACAGCTCTCAGAGGTTTTGAACATATTATTTACAAGAGATGGGACAACAAAAGTGATTTCAAAAGGAATGGTCCTTGCTCAGTTGTGGGATTGGGAGGAGGCAGAGAAGAGGGCATACATAAGGAATAGGGAATCAGAGCTGGGGAATGATGCCCTATGAGAGATGCTGCAAACCTGCATGGCACGGTTTGGGGGTACGGTATGGAAGAAGACGGGGAGAGATGATGCAGTGTTAGCACATACAAGGTGGCTTTAATAGCTGTAAGCAAAAGATGTGTAGGGTGAAACCTGGTATTGCTAAGTCGAAGTTCCTGGATAGTGCATCCAGCAGCTAAAGCACAAACCTAGCCACCGAACATAGTTGGTCTTTATCACTGGCAAACAGTATCTGCCAAGTCTTCCCCTGAAATTAAGTTTCTTTTTGTCTTAAAAAAAATAATGAAGACCCCCTCCCCTCCGCAGACAAGTCTTAGAAATCCAGCTCAAGCGGAGCTGGCAGCCCAGCGGGGCCCCAGCTGGGGAAAACCACCATTTGCCTGTTTTGCTGCCTGCTCCAGGCGCTACTGCTTCGTGCTCTTGGCGGGCTCCGAGGACTGCCGCACATCAGTCCACTCCTGCATGGTGCTCTGCAGCGCCTGCGTCTTCTCCTTGTCCACTTGCACGTAATCAACCTTCTCGTCTGAGGCGACCGATGAGGTGGAGGGCTGTGGGGAGGAGAAACACAGCCACCGTCTGGTCACTCATCAGCTCCTTGCTCTTCCCTCTCACTTCTTCCCGCAGCAGCACCCTGGGTGCTGCAAGTCCACCAGCATCTCCCCTGCTTTCTTGAGACTCCATAACTGATCACCCTCCCTCTAACCTCCCGAAGGGTCTTGGATGAAAGATTTCAGTCTGCTCTGCATCTTGCTTGCATGAGACTGCAGTGCAATGGGAGGGTAGAAACCTGGGTCTCTACCTTTCCACCAAATCTGGGACATGAATATTTGGTTGCAATTGCGGTATCTAACTGCTGATCTTGCAAATTCAGCGTTACATCTTGCTCATTTTCTTGTAAAGAACTCAAGAACTCTTATAGATACACATAAAAATCCCAGCTCCATCTCTCTTAGCTGTGCTCACTCTACACACCTATGACACTAGATTATTTTCATCCCCAAAACAACAGATATGTTTGCAGGTTCACCCAGGAGACCTGTTAAGGAAGAAGGAGATCCTTTTTTCTGTAGTTTCTTGAGTCCTGGAACTTTGTCTGCCTCTACAAGGATTACCGAGGACCCCCCATCTGCTTGCAACTGGAGCCAGATGATGTTTTTTAATGGTCTAAAATCACCTTTCCAGGTTGGGATATAATTTAAATTGGTAATACCTGCAGAAATATTGCTGCACAGAAAGAAACAATCAAGGGACAACTGTCAAATAATAAAAAGACCCAACCAGTGGGATGTTTTGACTAGGAAACAAGGTGGTGGTTGAGAAAGTCAGAGCAAACTCACAGGTGGTTCCCACAAAGGTTTATACAATGCCTGGTCCTTCACCATCCCCTTGCTCAGGCACTGCTTTGCTTGAGCCAGTCTCTCCTTCCCCCTCCCAGTTTGCTAAGAGTGGCACCCATCAGGACCAGCCTTTGGTCCCTCCCCAGCCCACTCTGTCATCCCTGGGTGTCCTCTTCTTGATACGTGGCCTTGCTGGGGAGGTTGTGAAATCTCCATCATATGAGAGTTTTAAGCCTCGTCTGTCACCTCAGGAGAGGTGGTTTCCTTTGGATATGGGAATGCCCTGAGGTCCTCCCTTGCCCTGTTTTCCTATCATTCACTTTAAGATGGTCTTTGTTTCCCCCACGTATGAACCTGGAGAAAATTCACCAACATCTGGGTCTTCAGGAGCTTTCTCTTCCACATTTCCACATGACACTTGGCAGAGGCATCCCATTCCCGACCCATCTTCTCCTCACAGCTCTTTCTCACCAGGCAATGGCTTGATCAACTCAACATAATCTAGCTTTTAAACATCAGCTTCACTTTTGAAAGCAGTTTGTACTTTTTCTGCCCAAATGGCACCCTTTAAAAGCACCTGACTGGCAGGACACAGGTGCCCAGCATTTTCTGAATGAGCTCCTGAAAGTATCTCAGGTGGAAACTCCAAGTCTGGTTTTGGAGGACCTGCTGTTCTGAAGGAGGAAAAAACCATTTTCTGATACTTCTTGGGATACCTCCTTTTGAATATACAGTCTCCAGCTGAATTTCTGGTCTCATCAGCATCCCTGAACCCCTGCACATCCATGTTTCTGGTGATACTTCCAGCAAGGCTGCAGACGTGCAACAGAGACTGAGTCTGGCCTGAAATAAATACAGCAGCAGATCTGCAGGAAAAATCACACCTCTGAGGCTGCTGTGCCACTTACCAACCCTGCCTAGGGCTCTGGACCATGCTGTTGCCAATGCGCATAAAAACCCCTTAAAACATGCATCACTTTTAATCAGAAGTTTATAAAATCCCCCGTACCTTTCTGTGTGGCCCTGGTGAGCTTGGCTGGAAGTCCAGGGCTAGATAATCCACGCTCCCCGAACTCTTTTTAGGCGCTGGGCTGTTGGTGCCACTAGGAACAGGAGAAGCAGAAATGGGGTTTTGCTAATGCAGGGAAGAGACAGGAGAGATAATGAGTATTAAAATGGGAAGCAGGAAAAAAAAAGGAATTAACACAAATCTGATGACAAAATGCCTCAGTGGCACTTTTAAAAGAGGTCTCAGCCTGGATATGTGCTCGCCTGCCTCTCTGAGACCAGGGTGTGCAGAACTGCTAGGGGGACTATATATATTGTATATTGTGCTAACAAATATTTCAAGCTCATGCTCTTGATTTTATGTATCGGAGCAGTTCTGCTGCCTTTGTGCCGATTTTATTCACATGCCTGACATCAGACGTGGGCTTCAGCATTTCCCAGGAACCACACCTCAGTGAGGCCAGACCAGCTCTGGGATCTTCACTAATCACAACCACGCTACACAGAGGCCAGATTTCCTCTACCCCCTTAGTTACACAGCCTCAAAAATATGCTTCAAGTCAGCAGCTTTGCAAAGAGAGACAAAATCCCCTCCCTGTAAGCAGTGCCACTCCCTGCTGCGGCTCTGATAGCCCCTGCCCTCCACACAAACATGATGACAGCAGCTTTTAGGGGAAAAAAACTGAAAAAAATCAACTTAAATTAGGAAAATAGACTGCGACAGTCCATAGATGTTTTTACCCCCTCTTAATTCCTGGCGAAGTAGGTGATACATGTTCCTGCTCTCATATACAGTTAAAACCCCAACAGGACGTGTCATTTTAGGAATGAAAGCCACTGTTTCGTGCACGTAGGGATGCACATAAGGACGTACACCACACAGTGCTATCTGAGCACTTCCATGTCATGAGCTAGGAATGTGTTTGCAGAGGTGGGGAACGTATATGTCCTACCAGAACTATATATCTTAGCTGTGGGGCCCTTACCATCGCCACGTAGTTCTCCTCACTGTCTCCTGAGTCAGTGCTGGTGATGCTCTGGGAGGAGACAGGGCGACAGTATTGCAAAGAGCCGGCGTTGAAGGTCTGGCTGTAAGGACAAGGGTCAATGCGTTAATGGTGGCTGCAGGTCCTGCTTGTCCACTGCCAAGGAGGGATGGGAGAGGGCAGCACCTGATGCCTCCAAACATCACCATGCTCAGATTTGGGGACTGGGCATGAAGAAGAGCTGGCGACATCAAGGTTCTCCTAACCTGACCTTCCCACAGGTCAGAGAATCACTGGGTTTGGTCTTCTTGTTTTTTTATTTCTAGGTCTTTTTAATAACACCTTGCTTGCTATGTACCCATAACTCTCCTGCTATCAGCTACATAAATCAGGCTCCATGAACTCTTTCATCTCACAGGAAATATTTAATTGTGGAGGATGCAGGGCCAGCCTCAGTGGAGCTTCTCACCTCCAGCCTCACCGCAGCTCCAGGATTTGTTTACTGCGCAGGGCCCTATCCGAATTTTTTTCTGGAAAACAAAACCTCCGAGGCATCGTCCTGCTTTCAATTGGCCAAATCTAATCATACGGAATAACATAATGCAATCAGTGTCTGGCATTAAAGCTTGTGTCTTAAAAAGCTATTTGTTGCCTTGCAGTAAAGGCAGGGTCATATGATTAGCTGATAAGGGAAAAATCCATTAGCTTCTCCGGGGTCGGACATCTTGTCAATCAAAGCCCGCTCGCTGTTTCCTGATGCAGTGATTTCAGCACGCAGAGCTCATGCCCTGCAGTCAGTCTCCACACAATCCAATTTATTAGAGGAGTCATAGCAGCCAAGCCTTGCTTCTGCCTTTCATTGGACAACATCAGACCACGAATTAGCAGCAGAACTGGAATTGTGCGAATCCTGTTATTTTTGGCCGGCAGACTTTGCTCTGAAGTGCTTTGGTTTCATTTTTCAGACTTCCTTCAGGCTAGGTTTTGCTTTCAAGGCAATCAAAACACAGCTCGGTCAGACCCTGCGAGTGTCACCCTGCGTTTTGAGACTACAGTGGGTTTTTTGGGGAAGAGCTGGATGTGAAATTGTGCCTGGCACCCCCAGCGTGGCCGAGTTGGGGTGGCTCAGCTGGGTCAGGAGTCACGGTGGACCACAGGTCCTGTGTCAGAGCCAGAGCTCCCTGGGTGGTGTTAGATCCCAGAAATAGGAAATGTCTTCAAGGGACCTTAATTAGCTGCTCAGCCACATGCTGGGCTTTCATGTGAAGTCCTGACCTAAAAGAATTTATCATCCTGCTGGGATGTGGGGAATATGACTATGGCTCTTACAACTCTTGACAGAGCTTGTGAGGGGTCCAAGAGAGGAGTCTCTCTGCTTCGACAGCATCTGACCCAGGTCCTAAGTCTGGCCATGATGTGACCAAGGAAACCCCTGAGCCCCAAATCGCCATGATGTGGCAGGATATTTTAGGAAAGAATTACTCCATAAATGCCCTGCTTCCCAGACAGCTCCTGCTGGTGCCTGATGGGGGTAGGGTGCTGGGCAAGGTGGACACTCATGCAGATGTTTGCATGGCATGACCCAGCTCTGCAGCTCCTGTTTCTAAAATTGACAAAGAACATAATGAGGACTGAAGGGATTATCCAGCTTTTGGGGAAATTCGGCTTTACATCCAAAGTCTGAGCTTACTTCTAGCTTGATTCAGGATGACCCACAAGAAACGTGCCCCTTCAACAAAAAGAGATGGTGGGCCAGAAGAAACCTCTGCAGCAAGCGGAGGCAGAAAGGCAGCTGACATCCCCCTTACACTCAGCCAGAGATGTTTAATCCATGGAAGAGGTGACAGTGTGGCTACGTGTGGACACCAGCGAGAGTGAGACCAGAGATCTCCTGTCAGAGCAAAGCAAGAATTCATACCCCAACCGTTACTCACGTTGGCCTGGACCAGGATTTCGTGACTGGCGATTTGAAGGGAAGCTCATCGATGACAGTGTTGTTCCTCAGGTCCAGGGGTGATGGCTTTGCTGGGGAGGGGAAAAGCCTTTATTCAGAGGCAGTGCGTTCCTACAATTCAGTGCCCATGACTGGCATGAGAGGGTCCCCAACAACTTGCTGTTTGCTGCCCGCTCTGCTAATCAGCCCCCCAGCCCTCCTTGCTGATGACAAATACCCCAAAACAAAATCCCTGCACTCATTTATGCCAGGATTGGGGGGAAACAGTGAATTTCCCCTCTGATCTGCAGCCCCAGAGTGAATGGGTGTCCCCAAAAGGGCAATGTGCCTCCAAGGGAATGGAGATCTGCTAAAAATGCCCAAACCCAGAGTATAATAAACCCATTCATTAGGGAGCTGTGATAACCCATTAGATGGGGACAAGACCAGTCTCTGTCAGCCCTGAGCTGCCTCTGGCTGGAGCAATTCCCCATAGAGAATGGGAAAGGACATCCGTAGGGTAACATGAAAGCTCTTCTCATCATGGGTGGTTCATTAGGTGGAAGAGAAGACTGCTGCACTCCAGCCCCAGCCCTCGCCTAGCACATTGATGGGGTTAGGTGCTGACACCCTAATGATGGAAGCCCTCCTCCTCAGCATCTCCTAGATAGGTGACCTATCAGGCAATGGTCTGGGGATGGATTTGGACGATGAAGGCAAAGCCCTGAGGAAAGAGCTGTCTAGATCCAGCCAGTAGGAAACAGTAGGAGAAATTTGGGTCATCTGAATACAACACAGAGATTTTGGAGTGGAGCATAGGGAGGGGTGAAGGCAAAGGGGGTGAGATCCTGCCTGTGATGTACCTCCTGTAAAGGCCACGAAGGGTTTGAGATATAGGCTGTTCAAGCACCACAAAAGCTGCATTTTCACCATAGTCCTCCTGAAAGAGGAAGGGGATGGGGAAGATCTGAAGGTCTGACTGTGCTGGCGGTAGCAAAGCACACCCCACATAGGACTCTACTGAGTGTGCACAAGATAACAGATGTAGTCCAAAGTATTACAAGAATAGAAGGGTTCCTGGAAAGATTTTCCCACAAACAACTGTTCTTACCTTTCCGGTCAGGTTTGAGGTTGCGGTTGACTGGCGGGGGCTGGATTTCACTCAACCGTCTGTGGCACTGTGCCATGGCTCCTCCTTTATGCAGGGGGAGGGTGGCTGAGGACAACCCCACCAGGTCAAAGTGATGCGGCCCAGGGCTCATGGGGATATAGAGATTTTGGGCATTGTCGTTGGCTTTCTCAGTATGGATCAGGGGCGAGGAACCGGGGTTCATGGGGACATAGTTGTCCTCGGAGTCGGTGCTATGGGAGCGGGCCACTGCTGCCTTGGCTTGCTGGAGGACAAGCAGGAGGATGTGCTGTAAGCATTAGACACTGCCCAACCCAACCCCACTTCATCTCATCATCACCAAACACACACCTGAGGTGGGACCAGCTCTAAAATCTCAGCACAGAGGGAGGGGATGGTCTGTCCCCTCCTTGGCCATCAGTTTGCACTGAGAGGGTCTGCCTCCACCGTTTCCAAGACATTGCAACATCCCAAGTTCAGGGAAAGGTCTTAATCTCCCAGGCTTGAGCTTCTTCTCATGATCAGAGTGAGCTGCAGAAGCATGCTTAACCTAGAAAGTTATTTTTCCCTGGGCTCCAGCCATGACTAAATGCAGTATGAAAGGCTGCTTTAATGTCATTTCCAGCTCAGGAAATCTTAGAAAGTGCACAAAAGAGGCTGTTCTGGCAACATGTCAAAATTCAGCTCAGCAGCATCCCAGGCTTTGGAGAAGCCAAACTCCTGGGCGCTTTTTTTGGGTCAAAGCTCCAGGCAGATACACTGTGGAAGCATCCAAGCAAAGCTCTGCATGCGGTGCTGGGTTAGGTGGTTGTCCTTCCATCTCTACCCTGCAGGCCACCATGGTTTTAACTGAAATGAGTAATAAAACCCTTCTTTTCTTGACTTAGCTCTGCAGGACTGGGCTGTGAGGTCCCACCTGGAACTGACTTGTCTCTGAATCTATAAGGTGCAAATGGTACCTATAGCACGGTGGCCGACACCAAGGCCAACTCACCAGGTAGGAGTTGTACCCATCGTTCATTGACTCGACTGACTGCACAGCACTGCCGCCTCCATGCTGGGGGTATTCGTACGTCTCGCAAGAAGAAGCTGCAACACAACCACAAATGCACAATGTGTCCCAGTGCAACTGCTAATAAAAGGGGCCCCTGAAAACAAAATTCAGGTACTGGGAGGGCGATTCCTATTCTTGATGATTGAGACGCTGTTTTTTAGCCCGTCACAGACTCCCTGTTATGCTCCCTCCCAATTAGCATCTCTCTCATGTGTCAACGCAACTGCACGTGCTGCATGGACCTAACCTGGTTCTGTCAAAGTGCTGCAAAATCCCAGGGGTGAAGATGTCAGATAAGGTAGATCACGGTGACAAAACTGGGTTAAGGGAGAGCTCTGTTACAGCTCGCTCAGCAGATGTAAGGGCTGGCAGCCTCCGGTAAGGGGAGGACAGGGTGAGGATGGGGTGCTAAGCTGTTAGACTGGTCTGTCTACTGCTGAGCATGGGTCTGATCTCAGCCTAAACGTTGGTATTTAGGTAGGAGGAGATGGAAGAGGCATTTCAGGGAGCTGTGTGTATCATTTACAGTTTTTTCTCTCCAACCACCTCTTCTAAGTTACTTTGCAACTATCTCATCCTAGGCACAAGATTTGGAAAGGGCAAGCTCGTCCACAGCCCATCCATGGCCAATGGGAAGGGCATCTCTCCTGCACTGGGCGTGTTGGGTCTTGGAGATGTGCAAAATTATGTCCTTGGCTGGTGAGCAAAACCAAGGTAGCTCGAGGCTGAAGTTGTTCTGATAACCCTGGTTATGAACTGAACTAAAAGTAAGCTAAAAATTGCCAAAATCATCAAAATCTGGTGAAGGGCTGCACGAGCAAGCAGGTTTGGGCTTTTGTTTCAAGGCACATAACAGCCAAGATCCAGCAGCTCGGGTGGGCAGAGCCCTGGGGATGCCTCTCCATGTCCATTGCATACAAAAAGCAGGGCCACATCCACACCAGGGAGACCTTTTTTGTGTTCGACTTCCTGGCTGACGCCAACAGTCACCCCAGCCCTACCGCAACCCAGCGGGACCACCCCATCCAAGGCTGCTAGACAGGACAAAGCCACCCATTGCTCCCCACCCTTGAATTCACCTCGGTGCAGCCTGCTGTTCTCCACCGCTGGCAGTGTGTTTCTCCGAGGAATGGTGGCTGGCATGGGGGCCAGCCCTAAGCTTTCTCCGGGCTGGGGCCGTTGAGGTGGGCTGCCCCACTGCGGCTCTGTCTGCCCGGGTTTTGGGGGCCGCGGGGGTGGTGCAGCGGGTGAGTCGCTGGAGGCCACAGCCAGAGCATTGTGGTTCTTGTCCAGTGTAAATGTCCTGGGGATCTGGTAGATGGAGAGCGGGGTGGCAGGGATGTCATAGGAGTCCATGGAGAGCTCCCCAAACTCCTTGCATAGGGTGTTGTTGGGAGTCTTGTAGGTGTAGACCTCCTCGTTATCTGTTTCAGAGCTGGTGAGGCTCGGCTTGGGGTGGGTGTAGGAACCGAAGGCGCGTGGGAGGTCATATGCACTGTCCCTGAACTCCGAGTTGTGCCGGCTGGGTTTCGGCAGGCTGTAAAAGCCGTGGAGCTGCCCGCCGACCCCGTTCACACAGTGCCCATTGCCCTGTGAGAGCTTCTGGACCGCCGTGTCGCTCCGCATGAAGAAGGCAGACCTCGTGGCTTGGGAGAAGCTGGCACTCCTGCGGAGGAAGGGGAGAAGGGGGCTGCAATGGAGGGCAGAGCCGGTCCTGGCATGCACCGAGCTCTGCTCCCCCGTTTGTCACCTTCCCAACCCACATTGCCTAACCCCAGGGTGACGGGAACATCTCAGACCCCTCCAAATGTGCCCACAACCCATTTATTTTGTCCTGAAACACCTTCAAAATGATCCTGCCATGGGGTGGGAGGTACACGTACCCAGCTTCACAGTGGAGCTACGGGCAGGAACAATTCAGACATAAATCGCTCCAAATGGGCAATTTTCACACCAGCTCACAGTGACCCAAGACGCGGCTGCAAAGAGCCACCCCATCAGCATCGTCATCACGCAACAGCTGCCCATCTGCAGTGCAGGAGGGAGGCTTACTCTGACCTCTGCCTTGCAAACGTGTTTGAGAAGGACTGGAAAAATTCGTGATGGGGATTATTTCAAAGCCTCCAGACACGTTGCCAACCTTCCCTCTTGTAGGGTAAACCCTGGGGAAGCGAGGACACTCCTCAGCTGGGATTTGGGATTTGCAGCCCCGATCCCAGCTGCAGGTATGTAGGAATGAACCTCAGGGCTTAATTCAGATTTCTAAAAGCCCTTGAGTCCCCTGGGGTGAGTGTGGCAGCGTGGCCATTAGGTCCATGCCTTGCTAATGACTCCTTCATTTGTATTGTGGTCATGCTCAGGGACACCAGCCAGGACGGAGGGTGAGACCTCAGTCCTCTAATGACTGCTCATTAGCCATCGCTTCTCCACCAGTTCCCTCCAAGGTGTTTCATCTCCTGTTTTATCCCTCCTGCTCCTTCCTTTATCAATGCTCCAACGTTGCAGAAGATGACGAGCCCCATGGCCTTGGCTTTCTGCACCCGTAACCCCAGCAGATGACATTTTCTCGAGTCAGGGGATGCTTGAATTGGCCACTTGGACTTTTCTTTCCTACCGCCTCAACCCCCACCCCACAAGACTTGGGGAAATGTGAGGATCACTGTGGAATTGCTGGGACTCAAGGGCGAGATGTGGCAGAGCCAAACGGGGGTGATGATGAAGCCTCCCTCCAAGCCATCTGAAGCAGTGTGGATGAAGAAAATACCACAAAGCTCCAAAAAAAGGGTTACGCTGCCATGGAGAGCTAATGCATATACAACAGGAGAGGGTGACAAGTAGTCTTGGGCTGGGTCTTTTGGCTTGCAGAGGTATAACCTCTACGGGTCAGGCTTTTGGGGACCACATGCTCACGGCCAGAAAAGGCTCAGCCAGCCCCATTTAAACATCTCCCCGTGGAGGAGAGCCCTGCCCTGTATCAATCACCACGCTGGGAAAAAGTGAAATGGTTATGGCAGGGGTGTGTGTGTGTGTTCCAGTTGCAGCAAATCACTGGGGAAGTGCCAACCCTATGGGAAAAGCTGGGAGATGCTGGTTTACACCACTCTGGCGGGGTTGATGCTCTGCAGGGACAACAGGGACTCTGTTTCATGGAGCCAGCACAAGATGGCGCTCAGAAATAGGGCTTATTTGGGAAAAAAACAAGTGATGCTGCGATATGACAAATGAATCCCTGCCGCCTTTGGAGCTCAGTCTGCCTGGGAGATGTCTGGGCTCTGTCAGGGTCCTTTTGGCTGAGGACTTGAAGCATCTCACGGGTTAATTTTTCAGCATCGCCCACCAATTAGCTACTATTACCCTCATTTTATGGATGAGTAAAGTAAGAGCTCCGGAGCTGAAAGGGGAGAGATTCCCAGCAGTCCTGCAGCCTGGCCCCGTGCACAGGGCATTGATCGGGGCGATTATTTCTGGCCCAGTTGCAGCAGCTGCCGCTGGCCAGTTTATATCTGCCCACCAAAGCACCAGTGCTTGCTCCCTCTTCCTTGGTGTCCCAGCTGCACTCGGCCTCTCAGAGGGTGGCTTTTAGGTATCCTCACAGCTGGGGTGTTGGAGGGCCTTTTTTTAAACACTGTTCCATTAACTCCAGCTGAAGTTAATTTTTCTGAGCCTTTTTCTGTTGTTGTTTTTTGGG